TGTTAAACATTGTGTTGTTCTAGATCTTGGTCCCTCATTTGTTCTTCTATAGGAGTGATACCCTCAGAATTCATTTGGTGACATTTAGGGATCTTTGCCCAACACTGAATAACTCCAACCTACTAGATTTTTGAGTGCACCTGTCAGCTTTTAAAGAAGTAGTTTATTAAAGCATAAAAAACCTTTTATTTTAGTTTTGGTTGGAGGAGGATGGTGATGTATTTCCTCAGTCTCAGTTTGTCCTCAATTGCTTCTGGTACTTACCTTGGGCTGTCCTTGTCTTTTATCTGCTGCTTCTGATCTGCAGTGGGTTGGGGAGCAGAAAAATGAAGTTGGTGATAGATCTGGAAGAGGAAGAGTAGGCAGACCCCACGTTGATCCTGTAGCATTTCCTATGAAAAGAGTGACTGGGACTCGTGATGCCTGTCTCCGATTTTGATGCACTTGTTTGTGGATTATCTGGGAGACTACAGTAGAAGCTGTGAGATAAACAAGTTTCCATGTGGTTGAGGCTTATACAGTCTCAAAAGTTTCTGTGTTCGCTATCCCATATTCGAGGGATACTTAGGCCTCTTCTACAGCCTTGGAAGTTGATTACAATTAATTCTGGATTATAGCTGTCTTTGTCGTATGTCCACGGGAGCAACGTTGAGGGAGATGGACCGCGGGAGACTGTCGCTGCCCATTCTTGCTGAATTGAGCTCTACTGGGACCAGATTCACAAGGGTTCTTCACAGTTGCCTCTGAGAAAACTTCCACCTTTAGAAGACTCACAGGCAGGAGACGTGCAGAGTCAAGAATAAGGGACTTGGGGTTCTCAGGACAAGTGCTTCTGAAATTGGAGTCTTTCTCTGTTCCCTTCTCCCTGTAACCAGGGGGGGCTTGGGTTTCGCTCACGTCCCCTCCAGGAATACCCTGAGGGAGAGAAGTTTAGCACCACTGCGGTCCCTCCACAGAGAGCTGAATCCACCTCTCTGGAGCTGGGCAGCTCTACAGATCCCTGGTGAGTGGGGTGGGGGCAGGTGGGGCCCTGACCCTTGCCACCTCCACCCTCCTCCTCTGCTGTCTCTCTCCCCCAAGGCCAATTGCCTGGCTCTAAAGTATGGCCTCATTTCCCTGTGGGAGTGAGGGGAGCAGATACACCCCGTTAGTACACTTTGGAGTGTTAACCACACTTGCAGGGTGCCCACTACAAGAGTTCTCCAAACAGCTTGTGGAAAATAGAATTCAAAAGCTTGAAATCCATACAGACTTTTTTCAAAATATGTTTTCCATGAAACATGTTGAAGACCCCACCTAGGCATGGATTTCTAGATTTTTTTTCTCTTTTTATTTATTTATTTATTTTATATCAGAATAAACTCATCTTCCAAGCTGGTGCTGTGGTGTGGTAGGCTAAGTCTCCACCCATGGTGCTGGCATCCAATATGGGCTCCAGTTGGTGTCCTGGCTGCTCCTCTTCTGATCCATCTCTCTGATATGGTCTGGGAAAGCAGTGGAAGATGGCCCAAGTGCTGGGGCTCCTGCACCACGTGGGAGATCCAGAAGAAGCTCCTGACTCCTGGCTTTGGATCGGCCCAGCTCTGGCTATTGCAGCCATTTGGGGAGTGAACCAGTGGGTAGAAGACCTCTCTTTTTCTCTCTCTGTCTCTCCCTCTCTCTGTAACTCTGCCTCTCAAATAAATAAATAAACCTTAAAAAAAAAAAAAAAGCACCTCATCTTTGAATTCCATTTTCCATCCACCTTCTGGAGTACCCTCATGCATCCTGCTATATTCTGTATACTTGGTTCGTGATGCTCTTTTTACCTCCCTCCCTAACTGCCATGAGCGCAGTAGGATTATCATTAGCCTAAATTACTGTCCTGCTGCCAGCAGTGTGCCTCCCTGACTCCCGGTGACACTTCTGAGAGTCTGTGCTCTGTGCGGCTGGAGTTTTGTCCCCCTTGGTCACCGCCTTGTCCCCAGAGCCGAGGGCAGTGCTGGCATGTGACAGCTGCTTGATAAATATTTGTGGAATGAATCATAAATATCCTTTCCTGGATATCCTCATGTTCACAGATGCGTGAACTAAAGAGGCTTAGTAACGGAGCCCGTTCACGATAGGAAGTGGGCAGTGGAGGCAGAATTAGAATCTGGATCCACCTGCTCCAGAGCCTGAGATGTCCTTGCTCCCTTCTGCTGCCTGCCCTGGAAAGGAGGGCCATTGCTAGAGACGCCTGTCCAGCAGGCCAGGTTGGGCGAGTGCCTGGGCGTGTAATGATTGTGGGTTGATTGGCTGCTGGGGAGGATGGCCTGGCCCACGGGGACTGGGGTACACAGGCCCTGAGCCCATCTCCAACTCAGGCCCACGGAGGCAGGCCCTGGCCCTCCCGCCTGTAATGTGCTGTCAACTGTGAGACCTAATTAGCATTGTTCATGTTTCTGCCGTGTGTTAACCCTTGCAGGGATTATGCCCCAGGTTTTCAGCAGGTGCCCCCCACCCCCACCCCACGGACGTCTGCTTGGCTGACATTGGTCCTTAAAGTCCATACAGTCTGACTTGAAACTGGCCAAGTGTTCTCATAACCAAAAACAATCAACAAATAATTTTTTAAAAATAACTGTGAGGTGATGGATCTATTAATTAGCTTAAATGTGGAGATTATTTTGCAATGTTTATGTAGATCCAGTCATCAAGTTGTGTATAAAATTAAAAAGTCCATACAATTTGAATGGAATATGATTTTGGAGGGTAATTTCAATCCAACAAAACAAAGGTGGTGGAGAAATCAACATAAGCAAGCAAATTCGGCTTTAGGATGTGTAAATTGAAGTGGGTTTTTCTCCTTTAATTGGCACAGATGAGACGTTGTGTGATTTTTTTTCCCCTCCTTTGTTTTGATGATCAATAAGGTTTGCTGCCTTTCCTAATTTTAAATTTTTAAATTTTTTTTAAAGATTTACTTATTCATTTATTTATTTGAAAGGCAGAGTTAGAGAAGGAGAATCATGGAGACAGATATATATATATATATATAGAGAGAGAGAGAGAGAGAGAGAGAGAGATCGATCGATCGATCGATCTTCCATCTGCTGTTTCACTCCCCAAACTACCACAACAGCCAGGGATGGGCCAGGCCAAAGCCAAGAGCCAGGAGCTTCATCCACATCTCCCATGTGCATGGCAGGGGCCATCTTCCACTGCTTTCCCAGACTGCTGGCAGAGAGCTGGATCAGAAGTAGAGCAGCCGTGACTCGAACTGGCACCCGTATGGGATGCTGAGCTGCAGGCTGTGGCTTAACCCATCGCACCACATCAAGGGCCCCTGAAAGTGCTTTGTGTCTGTCACCTATAATTAAACCTAGGTAATATGTTGTCTGTAACATCCAGAGACAGCTGTAGTAGCACAAGGCACAAATCTGTCAACTCTGCGTTTCCATCTGGGGTCCTGTATGGATAGGTGCCTCTTGATCCAACTGGAATTATAATGGTAAAAAGTAGCATCTCTCTCTCCTCTCCCAGGGAAAGGTCATATAAATTTAGGTTGTAGAAGAATATGTTTGGCCAGAAACTGTTAATGGGCTGGTGTTGTGGTGCAGTGGTGGTGTTGTGGTGCCGCCTGTGACACCGGCATCCCTTCTGAGCACTGATCCCAGTCCCTGCTGCTGTGCACCTGGGAAAGCAGTGGAAGACCTAAGGGCCCAGCACTGTGGTACAGTGGGTAAAGCCTCCACCTGCAGTGCCGGTATCCCATATGGGTGGTGGTTCAAGTCCTGGCTGCTCCACTTCCAATCCAGCTCTCTGCTGATGGCCTGGGAAGGTAGTGGAAGATGGACCAGGTCCTTGGGCCTGTACTGATGTGGGAGACCCAGAAGAAGCTCCTGGCTTTGTCCTGGCCCAGCCTGGTGTTGCGGCCATTTGGGGAGTGAACCTGTGGATGAAAGATCTCTGTCTCCTCCTCTCTCTCTAAACCCTGCCTTTCAAATAAATCTCAGAAAAAAAAACTGGTTCACCTTTTTAACCATAATGATACCCCCAGTTTGGATGAGTATTTACCTAAGTAACACTTGAGTTCTTGTTCATTTCCTTCGTGGTGATTGTATTTTTAGGAATTCAGGAAAGTGCTTTCTCAGATTCTTTAATCCTTTGTGTTTGCTATTTTTTTTTTTTTTTTAAGATTTATTTATGTATTTGAGAGGCAGAGATAGAGAGGTCTTCCATCACTGGTTCACTCCCCAGATGGCTGCGACAGCTAGAAATGAGCCAATTGGAAGCCAGCCAGGAGCTTCTTCCAGGTCTCCCACGTGGGTGCAGGGGCCCAAGGACTTCGGCTATCTTCTGCTTTCCCAGGCCATAGCAGAGAGCTGGATGGGAAGTGGAGAAGCCAGGTCTTGAACCGGCAGCCATATGGGATGCCAATGCCACAGGCAGAGGATTAACCTACTGCACCATAGTGACAGCCCTTTGTGTTTGCTATTGATTGCTGCTTGTTTATCCAGTCACAAAGGTCTTGGGAGATGAAGAAAATATGCCTGCCCCAGGCAAGACCGTGTGTCAGTCACCCCAAAAGACAGCCTGCTTGGTTATGTAGGAAATGAGAGGGTCTCTGGGGCTCCGTGACAATGCATCACTTACTCGGGAACTTCTCCCCAATATCCAATTTGACAGCTTTCTCATCTGGTCTTGTTCACAAATAAAAGGAGCTCAGAGTTCAAAACATATCTTTTCCTGAACTTGCAAGGAGGGTTTTGCCCTATTGCTTTCGCTTGGGGACTGGAATCACCACCCCTGTCGGTGTTGGTGTCTCGGCCCTGTGTGTTGGAAGTGCTCATCCCGCTTTACCTCCTGTGCTTTTGAGAGATGCAAGGCAGCCGAAGTGGGTCATGACTCGCTTCCAGTTCATCGGGACAGGAGCAAACAAACAGAACAGATCTGCTAACCTGTAGATAGATTTGTATTCTCAGGGCTGTGGAAGTGATTTTAAAGGTAATCTTGTTGGCTTTTTTTTTTTTTTTAAGGTGCATTTTGATCAATTTAAAGAAGCATTGATACTGATCTTGTCTAGAACTCTGTCAAATGAAGAACACTTCCAAGAACCAGGTAAGGCCACCTCTTTTTTTCCTCTGCTCCACATCCTCCATTAAGAGTTGTCCAGGGAAGAATGTGGGGACCCTGAAGCATGTGCAGGGGGGATTTGGGGCATCTGCCTCTCTCGGAGTCAGCTGTTATTTTCAGTGCCTTCTCTCTCGATAGCATCCTAAAAGCCTTGCAGCTGTTGGACACTCGAATGAGACGTCTTTACTCCAGCAGCACATTATGGGAAAAAAAAAATCACTGGGTTTGTTGCAAGGCGCCGTGTCGGGGTGGCAGCGGAGCTGGTGACTGCCTTTGTCCTTGTTGGCTGCGCGTGTGGCAGGAGAGGCTTTGGGGGACATCTTCCCTGAGAGGAGGAGGGTGGCCGGGCGGGAGTTGATTTTATTTAGTCCTAGTGTGAATATCAGCTCCCGGTATTAGGATTGCTTACCTGTCTGCGCTCTCTGGGGATGGTTCCTGCAGGACTGTGTGGTTCATTTGTACATCTCCAAGTGTCTCAAGGAGCCCTGGGAATGCTCAGTGTTCAGTGAATGTTGGGAAAGAAAAGAACTTTGTATTTCTTGGTTTTTAAAACATAGTCAAATGTCACCGTGTTCAAAGCTCTCTGTGTGTGTGTATGTGTGTTGGATGAATGAAATGTGGCAGGTAGCTAAGGGGAAGTCTACACAGGGTAGAAACTGGAATGGTGGTGCAATCTGGTTTCAACAGCTCCGTGGTCACCATGAGCTGGAACTAGACGTTGACTCTAAAGGGACACTGGGGGACTTGGGGTTTGATGGAACTTTCAAATCTGATGTGTGATACAGTTAAATGATGGAACTTTTCTAACCCACAGAATCGTGCACGAATGTTGTGAAATTTACTCAATGTAAATGACTCCGCAGTGAACCTGACTTTAAAAAGGAGATGATTTTTTTTTTTCCAAATACAGCTCAGTTTGGCTCTGAGGAGAGGTGTTCACGTTTTGTTGCTGCAGGGAGTCCTTCACTGTGACCTCTGAGATGGAGCGCCAATGGGAATGCATGCTTATCCTTCTAGAATGTTCCGGATTAGCGTCCTGTCTATGAACGCTTTCTTTCTAGTAATGCTGTGGGTTCTGGATTGAGCCTCTCACTTTTGCCTAAGGGTGGCCACCTCCGGGAAGCTTATTGTCAATGCGGGGGCTGGCCAGAACGTGCTGGAAGCCTGTGGGGGCCTGGAGGCAGGTCACTTGCCTTTTGGAGATTTTCTTGACTAATAACAGAATCTTTGTAGGTGGCCACTGCCAGAACATGGACTTCAGTTACCTATGGGATGACCTATGTTACTGGGATTTATGGTTCTTTAAGATTGCCTGTCATCTGGTAATAATTAGGCACAATCTGGGGACTCTGAATAGAGCTATGGTGACATCACCGCTGGTGTACACTTTCCTTAATAGAAACATAGAGGTACTGTGAGGGCACCTCAGAAAGCTCTTGGAGAGAATGGAGTTCAAAGATAAGTTTATTTTGGTTCACTCAGTGTTTAAACCCTTTGCATAGCTTTTTCATAACGGGATTTTTCGTGAACCTTTGAATCCATGCGCAGATCTCAAAAAAAATTTTTTTTTGGCATCAAAATAAACTTATCTTTGAATTCCATTTTCCAGAAACTTCTTGAAGTATCCTCATACACACAGGAATTCAGTGATCATGGGCTTTTATGTGGTGTTGGAATGGGCAGCCCGCCCACACACATGCATGGTTGCCATTTCTTCAAACCCTGTGCCGTCACCTGCCAGAAACTTGTCCTAATAAACACGCAGATGTGTGCTCATCACTGGGTGCCCCTTAGAGCTGTGTGGTGCAGGGATCCAGACAGCAGGGTGGTTGGCTGGGCTTGGCGGTAGCCAGGAAGTCAAGTTTGCAAAGCTGGATCTGCGTGATGTGTGTGCCTCGCTCCTGTGTGGGCACAGACCTCGCTCCTGTGTGGTCAAGGTTCCAGGAGGGCACCCAGCAGGGATTGTCTCAGCTTTGCTGTGTGCTTTCTGCCTCGCGTGGGTTGCAGAGAGTCCCTGTCTCAGAGTGGCAGCAGCAAGAGTACCGATCACTGCTATTCTGTGTGGCGTTCGTGTGACTCCCCTGGCGTCTGTCCTGCCAGGATCTGGGATGGATCTTGTGGGTGATGTGTCATCTCCCAGGAGACGCAGCGGGTCAGCTCTTCCTCCCACGTTCCCCGCGTGGTTCCTCAGCGGCCATGCTTAGTCAGCGTCTCCCTGGCTCCTCCAGCTGCTTGTGGGGCTCCTACGATCCTTTCCACCCACCCGTTCTTCCACCCACTCTGAGACGTGGCTGCAGCCCCTCACGCGGCTGGGGAGAAGGCAGGAGAAGGGACGGGACTCAGAGGCAGCAGATCCCTGAGGCCATCTGAGGGCCCCTCTTCTTTGAAGAAAACAGTTACCCTTCCATCACAGACCATGGCTTTTTAGGGCTGGGGGGAATGCGACCGTTCTCTCAGTGAGCAGTTGAGGCCTCAAGAGGTTCATGGCTGAATTTGAGTTTCAGGATGATGGCGGTGGAGGAGGCTAACAGTGTGTCACCCAGGGAGCTCCTGTAATGCTCCAGGGCTCCTGGCAAAGGATTGTAGCCTCGAAGTGGCTGAGGCAGCCTGAGTCCATGCAGGCTGGCCCACAGAGGCAGCCAGAGGCACTGGGAGTGATTCACACCTGATCGGTAGTGATGAAGGTGCCCGGGGGCCTCCGTGCTAGCTTCTGCTTGAAGCTTCGGGGCGAGGTCTGTACTATTCCTGTTTTGCCTTTTGGAATTGGTGGACTTAGTTAACTCATAGGAAAAGATTCCTCTCCAACTATCTGAAGGAGACTTGAGAAGCAAAAAGATCCTAAGGCACTTCCTTAGAAACAGAAGTGCCAGGGACCGATATTCTATACTACCCGAGACTGTTATAGAACATGTATGCATGTAACTGTGGATGTATTTGAAAGGTAGAGCAACAGAGAAGGAGGAGACAGAAAGAGAGGTTTTCATCTGGCACCGCAGCTCACTAGGCTAATCCTCCGCCTTGCGGCGCCAGCACACAGGGTTCTAGTCCCGGTCGGGGCACCGGATTCTGTCCCGGTTGCCCCTCTTCCAGGCCAGCTCTCTGCTGTGACCCGGGAGTGCAGTGGAGGATGGCCCAAGTGCTTGGGCCCTGCACCCGCATGGGAGACCAGGAGAAGCACCTGGCTCCTGCCATCGGATCAGCGCGGTGCGCCGGCCACAGCGGCCATTGGAGGGTGAACCAACGGCAAAAGGAAGACCTTTCTCTCTGTCTCTCTCTCTCACTGTCCACTCTGCCTGTCAAAAAAAAAAAAAAAAAAAGAGGTTTTCCATCCATCGGTTCACTCCCCAAATGGACACAAAAGCCAGGGCTGGACCATGCTGAAGCCATGAACCTGGAATTCCATCCGGGTGTCTCACATGGCTGTAGGGGCCCACGCACATGGGCCATCTACTGCTGCCTTCTCAGGTGCAATAGCCGGACGCTGGGTTGGCAGAAGAACTGGTACTCTTCTATGGGACACTGGTGTTGCAAGCAGTGCCTTAACCCTCTGGTCACAACTCGGGCCCCTAAAAGGGATTTTTGCTTGTTTGTAAGCTGGACAGGTGTGCTAAACCAGACTTTAATGTAGAAAGTCAGCATGATGTGACATGAAGAGTCTTGGGCTAGGAGTTAGCGAATACTACCTCTGCCTGTGTGTTGGGGAGACCTTGTATGTCACCCCCTCTGTGGTTGTGGTCACCTCCCATGTAAAAGTGGTTGTGCTGGAAAATACGTAAAATCCATTCAGCTCCCAGAGTTGATGTCTTCCAGTCTCCCACATGGGTATAGGACAAGTACCTGGGCCATCTTCTGCTGCTTTCCCAGGCACATCAGCAGGGAGTTGGATTGGAAGTGGAGCATCCAGGACTTGAACCAGGGCCCATATGGGATGTTAACCCGCTAGGCCACCATGCCAGCCCCTTGGGTATTTCTAACATTTGCAGGCCATACACAATTAGCAACTTAAAATTTAGCCTGCTACAAATTTATGGAATTTTGAGTCCCATCTGTGGTTGCGTTGGCAGGGCCAGACTGAATGATTCTGTGGGCCGGACGCTCCCTACCCCTGATGCTAAGCCATGAAGAAAGCCCCTTTGTGTTTTTGTAAGATTTTTGTCCACCATAAATGGACACCCTCGAGGGCGTCTTCCTGCTGGCAGGTGCCCAGCGTGTCTCCTGCGTTCGGAGAAAGGCAGCTGCTTATGAACAATCCCAAAGTGAAGTTCAAGTGGGGTTTGGAGGAAGTGAGATGGAGTCACGATTTGCAGTCTTGGGCCCTGCCATTTTTCACCTCTCTGACGCACTGTTTCTTTTAAAACTAGAGGATACAGCCTGGATTCTTTTCAGTATCTCTTTAATGCTCATATTTGTGATTCTCTAAGCTTGGAATTTTTCCCTTAAAAGGCAATAACAACAACACAATAAAACATGGTAAAAAATACTGAAATCCAGATATGGGCCAAAAAAAAAAAAAAAATGAAAACACAGGGCATCTTTGGTCAGTTCCAAGCTGATTAACATTGCCAGGGGCACAGCCCTCCTATCTATGTGTGCAATTTAATTTCTCAATTATTTTTCTGGAATAAGACAGGCAACAACTTAATTATTAGCTATTTATTCCACTTGTGATGGCTTTGGCTTATAGGATTTTTGTAATGGAAATGTAGGTGTGAGCTCTGAGCTACGTGAATGCATGGACTGGGGCTGCCCTCCTGAGATTTTTTTTCTCTTTGATGCATCTTGCATTAGATTTCTGTTCTGTAGTCGATGCTAGTTAATGCGGGAAGCCCTGATGTGGCTCATGGAAAATGTCTTTCCTTTGTTTATTGCAGGAAGAGAAACTCAGGTTTGGGGAAGCCAACTCACTGGGAAAATAGAACTAGGCATTGTTTTCCTGTAGATGATATTTTTTTAACAGACCTTTTCCAGAAACTTCCTGCATTGTA